CTTCTAACCATGGCCCCAGGAAATAACTGATCTTCATTCTTTCACTATAGATTAGTTTTTCCTGTTCTAAAATTTCAAACAGATGGAATCATAGATACATACTTTCGTGTGTCTGGCTATTTTGTTCAGCATAATATTTTTGAGATTCATCAGTGTTGTTGCATACTTTGTGGTCCACTTCCTTGTACTGATGAGTACTTTTTACATACATACCACATTTTGTTTATCTGTTCATTAGTTGATGTGGCATTCAGTTTTCTTTTTTTTTTTTTTTTTTCAGTTTTTAGACTTTTAGAAATAAAGCCACTATGAATTTCCTTATACAGGTATCTTGTGTAGAGACATGTTTGTGTATATTCTAAATACCTTGAAGTAGAATTTTGGGGTGTTATGTAAAGTGTATGCTTACCTTTTTCAGAAGCTGCCAAACTGTTAGAAAGCGATTGTTAACATTTTACATTCCTACTTGCAATATATGAAAGTTCTGGTTACTCTGTATCGGTGTTTTTCAACCTTTTTTTATCTAACTGCACACTTAAACCTACAGTTAAACTTGTTAAACTTGTACAGCACACTTAAATTATATTGATCAAAAAAAAAAGTGAAAAAAGGAATAGACTTACTGTACTTTGAACTTTTTTAGAAAGCAACATTTTTGCGGCATGCCTAAGATCCTCTCACAACACACTGGTGTGCCACAGCATACTGGCTGAAAATCACTGCTCTGTCTGTGCACCAACAGTTGTTATTATCAATCTTTTTGATTTTAGACATTTTAGAAGGGAAGAAATAGTATCTCATTGTGGTTTAATTTGTGTTATTTCTTTTACAACTGTTGATATTGGACACCTTTTTATATTTCAGAGGATATTAACCATTCTAATACCCTCTATTGTTGGTATATGTGTTCAAACCTTTTGCTCATTTAAACAATTGGGTTGTTGTAAAAGTTTTTAAATGTTTCCTTATATAATTTCTTTGTTAGAAGACTGTGTGTTGTGAATAGTTTCTCCCAACGTGACTTGGCTTTATTTTCCTAATAGTGTGTTTTGAAAGGCAGCAGTTTTAAATGTTGATGGAATTCCAACATATTATTTTTTTGTAATTTGTGTTTTCATTTTATCCAAGAAATCTTTGTTCACTCCAAGGTCCTGAGGATTTTCTCCTGAGTTTTTCTAGAAGTTTTATATATGTACATATACCTCAATATCATATATAAATTGACTGTGATTTAATTTCAGTTTAATTTTATGTGACATAAGGGTAAAGGTCAAGGTTTATATTTTCATATAAATAACAGCATTTGTTGACAATGCTATTATATTCACACATATTTACCTGTTTAGAAAATAAATTGACTATGTATGTGTGAGTCTCTTTTGGACTCTGTTCTATTATGTTGATCCCTTTGTTTGGTATAATTCATAGGTAAAACCATGTGGACTGGAGTTGTCTTTTTGGAATGATTTAAATTATCAGTTCAATTTATAGTAAACTTTATTTTCATTGATATTAATTGTTTCATTTAAGATAATTTCAAAGTAGGTCTACACTCTAAGATACACAAAAGAACAGATATCCTAAATCTAATAAAAAAATTTTTTCAGACCTTTCCTCTGAGCAGGGCATGAAGTCTCAGGGCCCCCAATGTTGACACCTAAAATTTTACCCCTGGAAATTTTACCTATAGATGAAGGAAGATAACATCAATATGTAAGAATCAAACTGTATGAATGCATTATTAAGCTCTTAAGGTAAAAAATTGCCCACCTCCATAGGTTTATAATGGTAATGACTGATTCCCCCCATAAAGTTCATAGTTTTTAAAAATAGAATGTCAGAGTATATAGAAATACACCAATTTTTTTTTATCTTAATACACTGAAAATAGTGGAAATTTAGAGATTTTCATCTCTTCGTAAGTCCAGGCGAGATCATGATTACTATTGATGAGGTCTGTTCAA